GTACATGAATTAGCCAGTACAGACATCGTTTTTCTTCGCAAAATAGTATTTTGAAATGCTTTACAATATGTTTCCACATTATCTAATTAGCAAGGACACTATACACTCTGTTTTAAAATGTGAGGTTTTTTTACTAGTTTTGGTTTACATTTATTTGCAGGCATATGAATTATTTTTTAATGATTTTTATACTTCTGTTTCAGGGTTAGCATATACATAAATCTGTGTATATGTCTATCTGAAGCCATACATAATCATATGCAAGTGTACACTTTAAGAAGTAGCGAAATAAATTTATGTTGTCCAAAATGACTTCTAAATTGGCTTAGAATTATGATATTTTCTGAAGTCTTAGATAAATTTTAAGTAACATATTGAGTGTGTTGTTTTAGCCAAAAAAACTATATACCATAATATTTACATGCTGTTGTTGTTGTTATATTTACATAAGCAATAAAATTTATGTAATTGCTACTCATTGATTTTTTTTTTCATTTCAGATCAAATAGATAGAGTTATCAATAGTATGAAATATCTGTATAAATAGAGCATTTAAAATTTCGTAGGCCATTTTATCAGTATGTTAATTAACATTTCTGAGATTTATAGAACTGGGAGCAGGTTGCTCTTTACCGAAATTGTTTTCACTGTTAACAATTTAAATGTCCTATTTCCTAAAATTTGAGATGGGAAAACCAGACCTGTCTTTTGATTTTAAAAAAAGTAGGATATCTTTTTCCTAATGTTTTCTTAAATTTGCTAATGATAATACTTCAAAATCATTTTTTTTCTTTTTTGTAGTAGGGAGACAAGCAATGACTTAGATAATTTTCAATTTTTTACATTTTTAGATCTTAAAAATTGATGACTAGTTCATATATATTACATGCCATTATTAGTATTTATACATTCTATATTGTTCACATTTTCTTTATGAAACAGTAGACTGTTTTCAGTCATAAAACAATTTTGACTTCTATTAGAACAGATACTTTATTCAGTTAAAAGAATTTTAAGTTTTCTTTCTTGCATTAACTATCTTAAGCTTTTTAATGATGTCTGGCTCTTAACTTTAGCAAATGGCATGACACACTATATCCATGAAGAGCTTGTGACAAAAATTTTGACTTCCAGAATTACTTTGGTCTGCGATTTACTCAGGTGGCTTCAGTTTGCCTTTAGTAAAATAATGTTTCCCTGTCAATGTGAGAGTACAGAAAAATGTTGTTACTGTGATCATATTTTCTGTAGATTATATTCTGTTCCCTTTCTTTGTTGATATCTCTCTTTCTTAAACTTTGTCGCTCAGAATATCTTTAATGCTAGCCAAGGAGTCAGGGATTTGGACGTATTTTCATGGACTTCCAAAGCTTTTTTCCCCCAGGTGAGTTAATTGTAAGGAACAGTTCTTTCAGTATGTATCATGAATTTTACATATCATTTAAAGCTTTTGCTTAAAACTAATTTTTTTTTTCTCTTCTCAAAATCAAGCAATATAAGTCTCTGTGGTTGTTCCTCCCTACTTCTTTCCCTTCTGCATGTCTACTGGCAAAGAATGTGTTAGTTGAGGTTAAACATTTACATTATTTAAAATTTGTTAGACTTAGTTTTATGACCAGCTTCTCCAACAGTTAATGTAAGTCTAGCTTTCTCAGAGCCAGCTGGTGTAGGTGATAGTGTCCAAATACTATGTCTCCTCTCTTTTCCCATTGCCTAATCTTTTGTATTGCTTTCTTGAATGCTTATTTGAACCTTAGTTCAATAAAAGAAGAAAAAAAATATTGAGACCTATCATTTTTCAACACTAATGACCAAATACCACATTTCTGTATTGACTATTTTAAAACTACTTGATTCTGACAGTTCTAGTATATCTATCGATTATTTATTATGTTGTATATATCATAAATTAGATTATTTCATTTTATATTAACTAGGTATTCAATAGAATATCAATTATTGTCGTGAAAGTTCAGCTCTGTTGCCTTTCAGTAAGCAGCTTGCAGTTATTACTAGCTTTTACCAAGTCTCGTCACCTACTATTTCAAATAATTGAAAGTTAGAATTACTATAACTACTAAAAAAGTGCTCTGGGAGTATTAAATGTCATTGTTTTTTTATTAATTTTTTTGATGAAATTGTTTTTCTTTCAAAATACTTGTAAATTTCCTTATTATTTGATATGTCTCACCATTATGTGTGTCATCTCCAATTGTGAGACGACATAATCTATTTACTAATAAAATGGAACATTAAAAAATAAACATTTTTAAATGTTTTTGCCGAAAATATTGCGTCTAGTAATGCTATTTATTTTTAAGTGGTTTGTGTATGTTTAAAGTTTTACAGATATATGCCTATATATACAAAGTATGTGATAGTTATTTTAGATTGTGAATAGAATATCAATCTTTCAAGTTTTTAAAATTTTTTTCCATAAATTTCCATGAAATAGGAAAAGAATGTTAGGCAAATGTTATATGATAATTACAGTGAATGTAAATTAAATATTATTCGTAATTGTGTATAAGCAAAAATTGATGATTCATCACAGTAATGATATTTGTAAAATACTTGCTAAAAGGTAATAGTAGGTTTAAAATTATCTATGAGCAGGTTATGTATTAAATTTAAAAAATATACAATTCTTGAATGGTTTTAGTTTTCTACTATGCATATAGGGAGCTCTGATGCCACAGTCTGTGTTGCTCTGCCACCCTACAATCCTTGCATCTCCAACAGTTCGAATCTACCAGTGACTTCTGGGAGAAAGATGAGAAGTCTTGTTGCATTAAAATTTATAGTCTCAGAAACCCAGGGGAGGGTCACTGTGAGTTGGAATTGACCCGATGGTGATGAGTGTATGGAGGGAGATACACAATCACACACACACAGAGAGATATTATTTTAGTATGAGAGAGTTCTGGTGGCCTAGTGATAAGTACTTGTGCTGCAATCCAGAAGAAGGCACACAGTTCAAATCCACCGACTGCTCTACAGGAGAAAAATGGGAACTCTCCTTCCCTGCAGTTTACGCCTCTGAAAACAGGCTGGCGAGTGAGCTGTGAGTTGGATCCAAGTCCACGGCACACATGAAGAGCTGTTTTACCATGAGACTGCTAACTGCATGGCCCATGTCAACAATTGTAGTGTGACACCATTAGCTCTGGTAGTTTCAGTCCACAACAAGCTCTCTGGTTGAAAGAGGAGCCATCTTCTCCCAGTTTATAGCCTCTGGAAGCCTGCTGGAGTGTTGTCTAAAAGTGTTATGATTCTTTGGCAATGAGCTTTTTGTTTGTTTTCTTCTTAACATGAAACTGCTAAAGAGCCTGTCAGAAAACTTTGTCTTGCAAATATGTTAGTTTCACTTTTTCATTCTGTTCATATTGTTGTTGTTGATGATTGCTTTCAAGTTGAGAACGGATCATACTGACCCTGTGAACAAGATGCCTGAAGCCCCTCTGTAACTATCCACATTTAGTTTGCAGACACGTGTATTTAGGAAGTGGATGCCACTCTATAATTAAATTTTTTTTTTAAGGAGTTACCCATCAGTCATGTTTTGCTCAGTTTGAACATAAAACATTTTTGTAGAATACATCCAGATTACCCATTAATGTATGTAAAATGTTTCTTGAAACTGTGTTTTGCTTTTAAAATAATTAAGAATAATATCGCTAGGAGATACCCTAGTGTAGAACATTCATTTACATTTAGCTGAGAAGGAAAGCAGACCTGAGCAGGTTGTCCTTTCCTCCTCTTCATCATGTTCACGTGAAACATCACAGCATTCATATTCAACAGAAGATTTAGGACAAGTTCCTTTCTCCATTATAGAAGCTACTCTTTTATATCCAGATACCTTGATTTTACTGGAAAATTTATCTTTAATAGTACTCTGGTCGTCTTTCTACCAAAAGTTTAGTCATTTTTTGTTTTTGTTAATAACAAATAATGTAATTGTGGAAAATAACATAGTAATTGTGTAAATTTGCTAGCAAATCTAGCAAAATATTTACATTTGCACTGTATTAAAGAGTAAGTTATTAAAAACATGTGAGCATTTTTAATTTTCATCAGTATGAACATATAGCTGTATTTTATATATTTTTTATCATTGATATCTCTGAAAAGTCTCGAGGTTTCAAATTTGTTTTTCTATTTATAACTAATTAATATAAATATGACTGAGAGTAAATGAAGATCTAGGCTTTTTCTCCCCTAGTAATAGACAACAGGGCAGTAATAAATATTCAGAATTATTCAGTTGTGGTTCACATATAGAATTATTTCATTTCCTCTACTGTTGAATATTACATGAAATGATGAAAATTATACTAAGGATTAATGTCTTTCTCAAGTTGTGGTGGACAGAAGCCAGTTCAGTTGCTCTCCTGTCATGTTCTCTAGAGTTTTTTATAAAAATACTGTTGTTGTTGTTGTTGTTGTTATGTGCCGTCGAGTCGCTTGCGACTCATAGCGACCCTATGTACAACAGCCCTAAACTCTGTTCTGTCCTGTGCCAGTCGCACTGTCTCTGACACTCCCATCCTGATTATCCCAATCACTGAATCAATCCACCTCATAGAGGGCCTTCCCCTCCTGCGCTTTCCTTCCACCCTCCCAAGCATGATGTCCTTCTCCAAGGAAAAATGTTAAATTTTTTATAGTAGTAATGATTAATAGGGAGTTCTGGTGGTTAGTGGTAAGAAGTTGTCCTGCAGTCCCGAAGGCATGTGGTTCAAGGCCACCAGCTGCTCCACAGAGAATGGGCAATCTCATTCTGTACAGTTAACTACCTCTGAAAATTCGCTGGAGGATCAACTATGGGTCGGTTCCGACTCTCTGGTACACAACAATAGTTGACTAATAGTTCATTATCTTTTCATATCATATATTTTCTTTCTTAATTCTTTGTAGACTTGCTTTGAAAGCTGTTTTTACAATGTTTTTAAAAGTGATAATAAATTATATTTTCCTTTTCTCATTCTAATTTTCAGGAGCCAAAAACAAATACTGATGACTTTTTCAAAGACGTAAATTCCTGCAGCTCACAGGAAGCAACAATGCAAGAGCAGGATATGTCGTTCTTACGAGGAGGGCCAGGCATGTACAAGGTAGTGAAGACGGGACCTTCAGGTCACAACGTCAGAAGCTGCCCCAACCTTAGAGGTATCCCCATTGGAATGTTAGTTCTGGGAAACAAAGTCAAAGCAGTGGGAGAGGTATGGATTCTTGTAGCTTCATGACTTCTAAGATTCTCATTTCTTATATAACCAAATCTTTCTTCAAAAGGTTGCCATTTCCATCCCAAGATGGAAAACCACTGTTTTTTTGAAAAATGTTTATTTTCTTTGTCTATGCTTGTATTAAATATACTAATGTAATTTTTTCTGTTTCTTTTATTATAGTTTTACTTTCATAATTACCCTTATGGAAATACCCCCTGTCTTAAAAAAATAATTTGTATTTTATACTTAATTGCTCAGTTTTTGCATGTATCTTTTCATTGTTAAAAATGTATTATATTGTCCTCGTTTATCAACACTTTAAAATATTTCATAAGAATCAATATGGAAGCTGTAATTGTGAGACCAAAGGTTTCATTTCTCTGTTCTCATGCATATGTCTAACTGAAGTCCTGAGCAAACAAAATTACTCTTCATTTCAATCTGGTATTTGCCTCAGCTGATAAGCTTGAAGATGTAGTGTGTCATGCTATTTCTCAGTGTCAGGGTCATTGCTAAGTAGCACTATCATATCATTGCAAGTGGTCTAAATCATAGTATATTGTATTAGGACGTTTTAGGAGGGGGGAAAAAAACCCATGAGTCATGTGTTACTGACTGAAACTTAAAATTACTTAGGAATTATCTTTGTGGTTTAAAAATCATTTACCAAGTCGTTAAGTAAACAGCATTTTGTAGAACTTTCTGTTGATTTCTTTCTTACCTCAGGCTGTGGTCTTAATTTCAGAAACTAATTTCATGATGGCAGTTTATTGGTATGATTACACTAATCAAACATTGAAGCTTTTTACTGGTTTTCAGCCCAAATGCCCTGAAAGAATAAAGTCACTCAGTCATACTTTTTGTTATGTACCAGGTAACCAATTCTGAAGGTACATGGGTGCAGCTGGATAAGAACAGCATGGTAGAATTCTGTGAGAGTGATGAAGGAGAAGCATGGTCCCTAGCTAGAGACAGAGGCGGCAACCAATACCTCCGGCATGAAGATGGCAAGTTGGCTTCAATTTGTGATTTATTCCAAGTAACCTTTGCAATGTCAAATTTTAATATACTCCTTTCATCTTAAATAACACTATTTACATTTTTTAAAATAAAATCAAAACTAAGCTTAATAAGGGTGCAGCTTTTAATCCCTGTCCTGGGTACTAGATGAATATACATAAAAGAAAATGTGAAGCTTATTCATCTTCATGAACCATGAGTTTGTATGGGTTATTCTGTGCACAACTGAATATTTTAACCCCACTACACTATTTTGCCTTCATATTTTTTTAGAACAGCTGACCAGAATAAGGCCTGATAAATGGAAGTACATGCTTCTGTGTCTAAAAGATAACAAATTTATAATCAGGAAAGGAAATTGTTTCCAAAAGGATTTGAAACTTACATGAATAACATAGACTTGTTATCTTCCTCTTTTTTACATAGCTACTATCTTTAACTTGGGGTCAGAATATGACAGTTACAACATATATAAATTAGAATCTTCATTCTTATTTCAAATGTTACATTCATTAAACCATACTACGTTGAATCAGTCATCCATTGAATTATTTATCCAAATTATGAATCCATCTCCCTTGTCATTACCAAATAGACATTTTTTTTATAAACATGGTGTAAGTAGCATTCTTTGATGATTGAACTGCTCTTATAAAGGAGAAGAACACTTCATTTGTGGTAAATAAAAATTTCACAGTAGTCTTTCTGTTGGATATGTTTAATATTATTCTCTAATAAGGAACCCTGGTAGTATTCTGGGTTACATGCTGGACTACTAACCAAAAATTCAGAGGTTCAAATCTACAAATTACTCTAGAGGAGAAAGGTGGACAGTGTCTTTCCCTTAATGCTTACAGCCTAGGAAACCAGTGAAGGGTTGCCATTAGAATCAACTGGATGCCTGTGGGTCTCGGTTGGGTTTTAGAGTTATTCTATCTTACGAGCTCTGGTAACTTAGTGGTAAAGAGTTGGTGCTGCTAACCCGAAGGCATGCAATTCAAATCCACTCATGATTCTGCAGGAGAAAGATAGCCATTCTCTTCCCATGCCATTTACTGTCTCTGATCAGCCCCTTCAGGGTCAGCTGTAAATCTGTTCTGCCTCAACAGCACATAACAACAACAACAATAACATTGGCATCGTTAAATCCATCAGCTGCCTGAAGGAAGGCAGGTCATCTCCTATCAAAATGATTTTACAGCCTTAGTGTTATATATATATATTACTATAACACAAAATAATAAAGGGAAAAGTCATAAATTAATGCCTTAAAATCATTATGATTAATTTGATGGAGTATCCAGTCTGCTCATTGATAATAAGCTATAATTCTTTAAAGTGTAAGTTAGAAGATTTGACAATATGGTCATTTTATGTGGTATAAGTGAAATGATAATATTTTTCTTTGTAACAATTTTTTCATTGGACCTTGAAATTCTAAAGATACAGCTAATATACATACTTACTTTTTGGTGAAATGGAGACATCACAATTGTTACTAGAGCATTCTGAGTGTAGGGAGTCAAAGTGATACCCTTCTAAAACATTTATAGTCTTTTTTTAAAGTCTACAAATGCCAGTAAAGAAGTGTACTATACCCAACCACTGGAACACAGCATTGCAAAGTACATATAGAAATAAACACTCCACCCTTTTCTTTTGACAGTGGGGTGGAGCTCCCCAATTAAAACAAGTTTGGAAGGAGGAGTGGCATCCACTTCCATAATAGCTTGCCTCCAGAAACCCTATGAACGTGGAGACAGGATGAGAGACAGGCAAGTGTTGAGGACTTTTCTTCATAGGGTCGCTGAGTCGCTTGCGACTCGACATTACTTAATAAAAACAACAACCATTTTTTCTAGTTCTGTTTTCTGTTTAAAAAGAATCTGACTTTTACAAATTTGCAGTGTTATTTCAGGGGCGCTCTGGTGGCCTAGTGGCAAGAAGCTGCACTGCAATCCCAGAGATATGAGGTTCAAATCCACCAGAGGCTCTGCCAGAGAAGGAAGGGCAATCTCCTCCTGTACCAGTCAGATCTGATTTGATGGTACACACACACACACACACACACACACACACACACACACACACGCAAATACAATACAATAAAAAAAAAAGTACAATGTTATTTCAACACGATAATTTTTTTCTCCCTTTCATTGGACAGATTTTTATTTTGTGTGGTTTTGTTTTTAAGCATTCATGTGACTATTAAACTGCATATGGTATTAATATTTTTACTATTATGCCAGACAAAATTGTATAACCACATAACTTATAATAAAAAAATAGCTTACTCAATGCCATTGAGTCAATGTCATCTCAAAGCAACCCTCTGTTGAGTTTTTGAGGCTGTACATTTTGAGGGGAAAAGACTTTCTCCTGCAGAGTGGCTGAGGATTCAACCACCAGAGGCTTGAGGCCAGTTGGTTAGCTGCCCAACACACAGGGGCTTCATCTCCAGAGTTCTTTAAAATTAGTATATTGTCATCGAGTTGGAGTTGATCCATCCATAGCTGGCCTTCACTGAATTTCCAAGGTTATAAATCACATGGGAGGAGATTGGCCGTCTTTTGTCACACAGAGTGGCAGCACATTTAAACCTCATTCTTTGAGTTGGCTGCACAAGTCCTTACCCATCAGGAAACCTGTATTCTGTGTTTCATCTTAGCATTTGTAAATTACATAAAGTATTTACCATTTCCTTCTTAAAAATTCTGACACATTTCTTGACTTCAAGATGACTAAGTGACGTGACTCGACTTGTCATTTGTTTTTTTCTTTTTCATTTTTTAAGAGAAAAATATTCTTATGTAATATGTAAAAATAAAAGATTTTCACATTTGTAACTCAAAGTACAGCTAAGCCTTGAACAACAGAAGTTTGAACTGTGAGAGTCCACTTGTTGTTTTTGTTGATTGCCTCTGAGTTGATTGCCTGCATGACTCATAGCGATTTTATGAACTAAAGACCTGAAGCCCCTCTACAGCTATTGACATTTATCAAAGTTCATAGTTCCAGAGGCATGTTAGTTAGGAAGTGGATGCCACTCCTGCTTCCAAATCTGTCATAGTGGGTAATTGAGGGTCCACTTAGGCACGAATTTTCTTTCCTGCTGCTTGTGGTAAGAAGCTGTGTTGCAATCCCAAAGGCATGTGGTTTGGATCTACCAGATGTTCTATGGGAGAAAAATGGGAAGTCTCCTTCTGTGAGATTTGTTGCCTCGGAAAATCTTCTGGAGGGTAGCTATGGTTTGATTCCAGCGTGAGAGCAAACACTAACTTCTGTGGTGAGCTCAGGTGCTGCTAATCTATTCTGCGTCAGCAGTAAGCTTTTCCCACTCCTCAGAGATGAGCTGTATTGCATGGCATTTAAAGTGGATATTTAGCAACATTTGAGCTCACTGTAGTATAATGTCAGAGTGTAAGTAGATGCACCCACTTCAGATCGGTGATGATCAAGAGTCAGCTGTAAATTATATGCTGATTTTTTTTTCACTTGTATGAAAGTCATTGACCCTAACATCAACCCCACACACGATGTTGTTCATGAGTCAAATGTATTTTACAAGTAAAAAAAAATACACTTTTAAGACTTTTAAAAAAAATTTTAATAGTACTATAAAGAAATTTGACTCTTGATTCTTAAGGGTCTTTATATTTTCCTTTATAAAATATCTTTGTGTAAATTTTTCACAAAAGTATTACTGGCTCAGAAAATAAAAAATACTATCCAGCCACAATAAATAAGCCCAATAAAATTATATCCTATTTCAGAATTTCACTTATATTTGATAAATGTTAAAGACTTTCATATCTTTCTCAGTGTCAAGACATTCTAAGGATACTTGAACTAAAGGTCACATTTAAAACTATCAGATTCTTTTTTTGCATGACTTTTCTCTTTTTTTTAATTTCTTTTTTAAGATGGGGTCATATATAAGAAACTAATTCTATAGCTGTGCCTTGTATTGTAGAACAAGTTCTTCTGGATCAGAATTCTCAAACTCCTCCTCCAAGCCCTTTCTCAGTTCAAACTTTTAATAAAGGAGCAAGTTGCAGTGCCCAAGGATTTGATTATGGACTTGGGAATAATAAAGGTAGGTGGATAAAAGTGAATCTTTTACCTAGTACACTTTATACACCTTATTCTCTTTCTCATCTACCCATTTTTACATATTTTCACCCACAAAGTTTTATTAAGATTTGCTTATAGGAAATTTAAATGTTAAGGTTTTCTTTTTATGATATTATTTTCTCACTAGTTTTCACTTAAATTTATCAAAATTCCTGCTTTAACAGCCCTGATTTTAATTGATATCTGAAAGATTCTGATTCATTTTATTTAATAAAAAAACTATAATTTTATTATTCTTCTGAGGTTAAGAGAGTAAACCTTCAAAAATGATTCATTTTAAATCAGGATATTACTTTTAAATAATACCTTTATGTAGTATCACACATCACTTTAATTAAATATGCATGATTTTGAATGTCTAGCCAAGTTATGATTATGTGAAATGGTATTTTTAGGTATGTGTATATATAGAATAAAATAAAAATGTTATAAAAAGAAAATATTCATAGTTACATACGATAAATACACCTATTTTTTCACTGCATTCATGAAGGAATCCAGTCAAATTATAGTTATTTTATTCCATATAATTTATACCTGAAATTTATTCTTCTTGTTGTTGTTGTTATGTGCCATCGAGTCGTTTGCAACTCTTAGCTATATTATAATTGGTATACAAATGTATATAAATTCAGACATACTCATGTTCTTTCCTATTACATGTGGCTTGACTCCTTCAAATTTGCTCATATTTCCAGCATGTAATTTATAGTCTGATAATGGATAGAAGGGAGATGATAGCCTGCATGAAAATAAGTTTTAAGCTTTATTTCAACTAATTCATAGGACTTGATTTCAAGGAGTAATTACAGTGTCATTATACCTAACTTTAGGTGAGAGTTTATACCTAACATGAAGAATAAGAAAATGAAATGGATAAGAAATTACAAATTTACGTCAGTGTACCAAAAAATAACTAAAAGAAAACACCCTTACTTTCCACAGAATACTTTTAGAAGTCTAGCTACAATTTTTTTTCCTCCCTCTCTCTCTTCTGTTGAATTGATCTGTCTTGTAGGCGTGGTCCTGTCGGCTTGTTTGTTTATGGGAGCTCTGATTTCTGCAAACTTAAGCTAAATGTTCATATAGGGTAAATTTCTTACAGAGTTTTCCCCCCATGTTCTTTTTCTCTGTACCATTGCCATCTTTACATTAAAACTTTAGTGTTATATTCCATTACTAAACTTTGAAAGTGGTTTTATAAGGTGTGTTTAGTTCAGATTATATATTTTCAGGCTTTAAAATCTCATAACTCATTATGCTGATTACATTCACGATAAATCAGTCTTTAAAATACAGCCTAAGTTATTGTAAGAATAAGTCTGTTTCCAAGAGATGCAAAAATTTCTGAGATTATTATTAAATAGAAATGGTATTCTTTTTTAAAAGGGGAGCTCTGGTGGTCTAGTAGATAAGGAGTTTTGCTGCCCAAAGGCAAGCAGTTTGAAGCCACAGGACGCTCCACGGGAGGAAGATGGGCAGTCTTCTCCCCTGCGATTTATAGCCTCTGAAAACCCACTGGAGGGTCAGTTATGAGTCATTTCCGACTCAACGCCATACAACAACAACTTTTTAAAAATGTGCTTTTGCTAATATAATTTCAAAATATTTTCACACAAAATATTTGTGTGAAACAAAGAAACACGAAATTACTTTATTAACTATTTTTAACCTTTCTTTCTTTGCTTTAAATATTAGTTTTCATTTTCTTAATTCTTTATACTTCCAATCTCAAGAAAATGAATTGCTTTTTTCAAGGCTCTTCCTCCTTAAGACAATATTTTACAAAATTCATCATAATCTCTAAAATCTTTCTGTAATATGCAATGTTTTTTATAAAAAAAATAAAGATATCTGTGACTTGTGTAGTGGTTCTTTCTATATAAATTAATTCTTTTTGGTACTCCAGTTGGAATTATTGTCCATTAAACTTTATTATACATAGGGGATATGGCTGAAATAGTACTGGTTTCTTGTTTCTATATCCACTAATCTGAACCTGTTTTTATTTTTTTCTTCTGTTCTTAAGTGTCACTCAAACTCTAATAATGCATATGCTTATTATTAAGGAGTCCTTATCCACCTTTTTTATAACTTTTTTAGAATACTCTTTTAAAACTCTTAGTATTTCTAATTATAAAGGAAAATGTCAGAATTCATATTTAAGAGAAACTATTAAAGTAAGATAGCCTATATTCCTTTAATTTTGTATTTCTTAATCTTTTTATTACCCATCTAAGTAAAAAAATTCATACTTTAAAAAGTAAAGTAAGAATGTTTTTGTAGGTTCCATTATGAAAATAAAATACTAATTTCTAAGTATAGATTATATGTTTGATTAGGCTAATAGCAGTGTTCCTCTTTAAATACCTTATTTTGGAGGACAAACTATCAACTCATTATTTGCTTAATTTCTGCATGAAATACACTGCATGTGAGGCAGGTAGAAGTCAGTATTGAGCATTATTTAGATCACTTAGATGCATATGATATTGAATCAATTTATCATAGAGTCTCCTTAGACTATTTTTCCATGCTGCTGCTATATGTTGCATATGAATTTACATGTATTTGGGTGTTTTTAAATGGGCTGTTAAATATAAAATTTGATAGACAGACTATTTCCACTAAACAAGAACAAAAAAAAAACCATACAAAATTGATCTCTAAATTTGAGGGGGGAGGGAATCACCAACTTCCACAAAATTCTGAATTGACATAGTCTTTTTAAATACTTAACTATATCTGAATGTTATAAAACACCATTCACTTTGCCATTTGGGATGTTAATTAATAACAAGTTGTAGTTTTGACTGTTTTACCCACTGCAGGTGACCAACTGAGTGCCATATTGAATTCCATTCAGTCACGGCCCAATGTCCCAGCTCCTTCCATCTTTGATCAAGCTGCAAAACCTCCCTCTTCCCTAGTCCACAGCCCATTTGTGTTCGGACAGCCCCTTTCCTTCCAGCAGCCTCAGCTTCAGAGTAAGTCTGTCAGCCTTACCTGCCTCATCAAGCCATTTCTGAAGCTTTGTTCTGAGTTGTTTATCAGATACGAATTATCTATCCACTCACCTGATGGTTTTATTTAAGGAGGATGTTGCCCCACACACACAGTTTTTTAAGCATTTAAGCTAAAACATCTGATGAAAACATCTACAGCGAAGACATTTGTTTTTTATCTCAGGTTGTTTTTTTGTAAGAAGGTGTATTTCCTTAAAATACAGTTGTTAACTTTCTATTTTGATTCTAGTGAATACGTACTATACAATTATAAAAAACATAATTTGATATAGAATTTTCTTTTTAATTATGTATGTTTATGGTAAACATCAGTTCTGGAGAGTAATCTTCATTATTTTATGTTAGATTTTTGTTACTTAAAGATGTGTCAAAAAAATAGTCCAATCTCACTCTCTCAATGGCTGGAGAGAAGCCTATTCTGGTTTGGACAAGTGTGTGTCTCTCATTTAAGTGGATTTTTTTATCTATGAAAATGTAGAGACATTTAGGTTTCCAAATTGTTAAAAATCCTCTTGTGCATTTTCCCCCACCCTTAGTATGTTAAAAAGTGAAGTCAAAGTGCCATTGGGAGGTAAAGATAGTGAGACTTCATCTTTCGTTCTTTGGACATATTGTTAGGAGAGACAATTCCTTGGAGAAGGACATCATACTTGGAAAGGTGGAAGGTCATTGAAAGAGAGAAAGACCCTCAATGAGATATATTGACACAGTGACTGCAGCAATGAGTTCAAATGTGTCATGTTGAGGAAGACATCACAGGACAAGACAGAGTTCAGATCTCTTGTTCACAGGGTCACTATGAGTCATAGTCAACTCAGCAACACCTAACAAACAACAGCAGTATGTTAAACTTATTATTTGATGACAGTTCTTTCTAGGAGTCCCTCAGCTCTTTACCCTTAATCTGAAAGTAACTCAGATTAATGCAAAGAATAGGCTCAAATTACATTTAACTGAGTATTCGAAAATCTCTTGCTGGTTGACTCTCTAAGCCCATATTGTCTATCCAGGCACAATCTCTAAATGAGATAGTTTATAGAAGTCTCAGTGTACATACCCATTGATTGGACTAACTTGCATGTAAGGTATTTTTTTACAAAATATATTTGAAAAAGAGATTATCCTCAAAATACTATAACAGTTGTGTTGTTGATTGCCATCGAGTCGGGCACAACTCATAGCAACCCTATGAACAAAAGGCCTGAAGGCTTTCTATAACTATCAACATTTATCAGCGTTCATAGAGTTTCCGGTAACAGACAAAAAAACTAGGGAAATAATAGTCTTCTTCTATCCAAAGGTGTATTGTAAGTCTTCACAAAAATATCAAATGTAATTACTATCCTCATTTATAAATTATTTAATTAATGTTCTCTTTCCAATCAAAACATAATAAAATTCAATTTATAAAGACATAAAAAAATTTTCCTTGTCTCATTCAGGAAAAATAGACTTCCAAGAGAAATTCTAATGGTATCATTTTATACATCTTGGGTTTCTTATCAGTACCACTACTTTATTACTAGAATCTTGGAACAAATTTTAAATCATGGCTAATGCTACAGTTACCAGCTTTCTCTAAAGAATTATCTGTATTCAGACAATGCAGATTCCTCAAACCTGTTTTAAAAGCTCTTATCCTCAGTAGAAATTCATTAAAGTTTGAATTCCAGAAGAGAGAAGTTTTAATGTTTAGCATAGCTAAAAAACGGGATAGAATTTTAACAATTATTTTCATGTTTTTAAATAAATGAGACTAGCCTTAATCACATTATATTGTTATTATTGTCATGTACTTTTGAGTCAGAACTGTCTCATGACTGACCATCCGGCAGGTTTTCAGAGACAGTAAATCATATAGGCTCAGATTGCCATCTTCATTATTGAGCAGCTTGTTGATTAGATCCGAGAGCCTTTGGGTTGGCAGTGCAACTTT